AATGGAAATAACGCTTATCCATCGGTGACTCCAAATAATCCTTCTGGTTTAATATCACCGCAATCACGACCCCAACAGATCAATTATAACACTCCTCCAAATATTAATGACACGTACAATCAGAATTTGATGTACTCCCAAAAGAGACCTTACCCACCGCCGGTGCAAAATGCAAAGCCTGTACAATCTGCTTATGGATACGGCCAGCCGCAAAATACGACGCAGAAACCCGTACATTCTGACGGAATGCTTCATCATAATAACAACTCATCTTCTAATCGGCCACCGCCACCTCATCATTACTACCCAAATAGCAATCCACCAATAATTCCTCAACAGCAATCAAATTATTCCTACCCTGGAGATTCAATTCATTCGCAGAATGGATACAACTATGATCCGCAAGGCGAATATTCCTCAAGTAATTATGAACACCCCCAACAACAAAATTACGCACCCCAAAGTCAGTCGTCGCAAAATCAGTTTCCTCATAACAATTATCAGCCGGGAAATGGTTCATACGGTATTCACAAGATTTTATTTCGTTTATAGAGGGCGGCTTATGGTGAAATTCTAATGATTTGTTTACTATTTAGCTTACCCAGTTACTCAAGGTCTGCCTTCATCTGATCAGTCGGATCACCAGGGTCAACCGATCCATCGCAAAAAAGTCGATCAATCAAGATATCCCAATATGAAATCCTGCTCTGAAGTCCTTAAAAAATATATCGAAAACAATCACACTCTGAAAGGTTTCGTCATGCCGGAGGAATGTAATGCGGCCATACATCTCGGAGTCGGTGACGCGGATGGGCTACAGTTTCATCTTGATTCGGGGGATAACGTGAACCGGAATTATGATTACAGTGGTTTCTGCGAACCGCTTATACACATAGCCACTTTTAATTGCAAAGGACCAAATCTAAATATGATACTAAAAATATTGAAACACAATAAAGCAGATTTTGGCATTAGGAATAAGCAAAAGAAAACTGCCCTTCATCGATTGCACGATAACTCGGGATTTCGAAATTTGTTTAAGGAAGACGAGAAGAAATATGTAAGGCGTATGACGGAGGCAATAGAAATACTGTGCGAAAACCATTGTCCAATAAATGCTCGTGATAAAGATGGCCGAACGGTGCTATCATACTTTTTGGCCGAGAAACATGGTAAACCCGAGAGTCGACAAACCGTAATTTTAACCTTGTTAAAAATGGGCGCAAACCCTAATTTGTCGTGTACCGTCAAGGGACTGGAGCAGACATTCTACGCGCCCACGGCATTGTTCCTGGCCATAGAATATGAATGGCCGATTGACCTCATTGAGTTGTTGATGAAAAAAGGAGCGGACGCTCGGAAATGGGACACCACAAACAAGATGAATATATTGGGACTGGCAGTTCAGAAGAGGAAACAGGATCTGGTCAAGTGGTTATTAGATCACATTTCTTGTTTGTCCGAACCTGAGAGCATTAAGGCAGCTAAGCGTAAGACAAGCTTCACGCAGTCGATGCTGATGTCATGGCGTGGGAGAAAAACGTTGAAAGATAATTTAGAAAATTACCCACGGACAGACGTCAATGTCGACGCGGATGATGAGGATTCCGAAAAACCATGGTTTATCGATGCGGTCAATAAGAAATATGAGGAACGCAAGCAACATAAGGAAGATGATTCTGGAAAAAATGATAGCAAGAAAAAATGAATCGGGTATTTTAGTACAAGAGTTAGAGGGGACATTTGTAGTACTCCGAATACGTGCTGCACGTTTCTTTTCATATTAAAATCAACTTCAACCAAAAAAAAATTGTGCACTAACGTATTTCTTGTTACTTTTATTTTTTAACTCACAAAACCTTTAAAATACACATTTCTTATTTTGTAATTTATTCTTTATTTTACTAATATACGTTTCCGAGCACATCATTTTTGCATGCATATTTTCTTGTTTCCAAATTTATTGCCACCTTGGCACTGTATATTCACCCCAAATTATATTTAATATACGTATTCGCATTGCTATTGTATCAATAACAAGCTTTGATAGTCAACTCTCAACTGAAAATTCACTAAACGTGAGATATTATAAGAAAACTCTTTACATTTAAGTCTTGAAATAATGATTTTAGATTTTACACACAGCAGTGTCCGGGAGATAGCGCATGGATACTCGTGAAAGAAATGATCGATACTACATTTGTGATTTGGCCATTTCCTTGTTACGTTAAATTCACCACATGGAATGTGATCTCGCTTTTTCGACCCAACAGTTATCAAAAAGTAAATTTTTAATGATTTGAATCGATAGTTAGTTATTTCACATATACATTATATCTTGCATTGAAATATATCAAATAAATAAAATATTTTGTATGGTACTGTATACAGAGAAACCTTTTGGAATGCTTTTTCAAGTAGATATTGTCAAATGCATTTCTTTTATATTTAAAAAAATTTTTTTTTTGAAAAGGTCCTAGGAAATGTTATGATTATTCAAGATCATGTTATTCCAGTCAGCTTTTATCTCCAATTCTCAAGAAATATTGTTGATGTAATATAGTAGCATTCTTCTTATTACCTGTGGTTATAATATTCATATTCAGAATTTTTCATTTAAACCTTAAAAAATTATTTTCTTTCTTACTATATGTAATTGATACTTACAAGATATTCTTTAATTTGTACTTTTAAATTCATAAAGTATCATATTAAAATAAATTATCAAATTATCAAATCATGATATATGAATTTGGAATTAATTTTTTCAGAATTTCTTGATTAAATAGATTAATTAAAATCAAATCAAATATATTTTTTCATATTACTTCTTTTTTTTTTTAATAATCAAATTCGAATAAATAAAAAGATTCAAAAAAATTATATATTTTCATGCATTCTAATCAAATCTCAAGAAATTTGATTGATTGGATACAACTTATATTGGAAAATCAATTAATTAATATACTGTATAATAATAATAATAATATTATTATTTTTTTGTAATCAGATAAGTTTGAATTCTATTTATATTTTTTTAAATAATTTATAAAATAATAATAATAATAATATTTATTTATTTATTTATTTGATAAGTATTTTAATATAATATTTTTATTAACTTTTATTATTGATCAATATATTAAGAAACTTTACAAAAGTAAATTAATCCTAGCCTATCAAAAATTAAGATAATATATATAAACTCTAAAAACTTTGATAAAAAAAAAGATAAATAATAACTATCTACTAGTTATATCAAATTCAATATATGTGCTCACTATATAAAAGATTGTGATAATAAAATTGTATAATTAGAAGAATCAGTTTTTGTAAATGCTGAATCTAGAAACTAGCTTGTTATTATAATATAGCCATGAATCTATTCAGATTAGAGTCTTGTTTTCAATATAATATGATTATCTCATGTCAATTCTTTAAAGAAAGTAAACAGATTACAATTTTTATAAAATATTATTATTGTACTATAAATTTAAGATTTTTTTAATTTGAATTTTATTTTATAAATAAATATTTTTTTTATAGGCAAATATTATTTTTTTTATTTAATTTGTATATAATAAGATATATATTGTAAAAAAACCAATATCTCTTATATGTTAATATAATGAGTTAAATATTAGCTTGCTTATAGTAACTATATGACTAATATTAAAAAGAAAGATTAAAACAATATATCTTGCCATATAATATTAAATAGTTATAGATATTTATTTAATATTAAAAAAATAATATTTAATAGAATAATATTAAATTTTGAATACACTTGAAATAATTATATTTATATTATATCAGGAAATTTTTAATATAAAATTTTTTTAAAAAATAAACACTGGAAATTTTTATTTCAAAAAAATTTAAAAATCTTTAAAGTAATAATAATTATATTAAAATAAATAATTATTTAATA